GAGTGCGCTGCCAGGGCTATTCAACTGTGAGGTCTTGCATCTGTATCGTACTCAGTGTATCTGTGAAAATTGAAGAGTTTGCGGAAACATAAAATATATACAAAATACATGTAATGAGCATGTACAATGTATACCTTTAACGGCCCGTATACTACGACAATAATAGCCATACAGCCGCATTGAATGCCACTGCTTATCTAAAAAGGCATTTCTTCGCAGCTTCACGCGTACGCCGTCTTTGATGCTTCATTACACTTAGGTACATAGAAGCATCGAACAGCACATGCACGCAATAGGTGTACATCACCAGCTCACCCTGAACGAAGCCAAAAACGGCGCGAAAAAAAAAATGCATAAACAAGGGGGTACTTCCTTGTTGAAAATTGCAATCTCATCGAGTGATTTTGCTTCAAATTGATCATTCAAATGAATTAGGACCTCTAATAAATATGCATAGGTACCAATAGCTGTACATATGAAACCGAAGCGACTTATGAAGTTGTTCCGGACTATGTTGAGCATAAAAACGGATCCAGTGCTACTCGCCATTCACATAAACGCACTTGANAGTTGTTCCGGACTATGTTGAGCATAAAAACGGATCCAGTGCTACTCGCCATTCACATAAACGCACTTGATAACATTTACATGAATTTACTGGCAGAATATACAAAGATGAGCACCAGTATCCGAACGGAAACACGGAAGAGAACACACACACACACGCACACAGGCATACATACATACAATCACACACACACACATACATACATAATACATATAATACCACGCTGCTTTTATTTGTGTGTACATTTTATATTCGTTTGCCAGATTTTCTTGCCGATGTGTTTTACTGGACTTCCGCGTGTCACGCTGCAGTGAACAACCGCACGTCAGCCGCACGTTCGACATGAATTCACTTGTCGTATTGTATTTGACTGATTTGCTCGCCCTGCAATTTCCTTGCGCATCCCACAGCTCGCGCTGAGAGCAGCAAGCGGTGGCAGGAGCGTCACATATGCAGTTATAAGCAAGCGCATGCATAGAACACAAACACATGCACCCATACACAGTACAATGAGGCGACAAGCAAAAAAAAAAAGTGGACGAGTCATTAACCCTTTCAATGCCCAAGTGTATTTACTTTGTCTTTGTATGTTCAAAGTTCGCTGTGTCTCCTCAACTCCCCGGGCTTTGCCGGCGTTCTTTCATCATCACATCTCGCCTTCCCTCTCTTTCAGTCCTCTCTTTCGAACCGGGAATCCAATTCAACACTTCGGCTGTGGTTGGTTTCTCTTAGCATGCTTTTATCCGTAGTCTGGCTTCTGCGGCTGCCACAGGGCGCATCTACGTGCCCTGCTCCTGCGGCTGTTCCCCCTTCCCCTCCTGCTGCTGGCGGTCCCCCCCTTCCTGCTACTGCTGCTCTTCCCCCGCCTCCTCCTGCTTGTCTGCTCCAGCTAAGCTTTTTTTGCCTTCTTCCACAAGTTGAAACAGCACTTGAAGAGCGGCGTAATCGCCAAAGGTTTGCTGGAGGCTTTGCGCTGCCTCTGCTGTGCGATCGATGACAGACATGAAGTCCGATCTGCGCTTTTTATCCAGCTCATCCGAGTGCTTGCTCGTTGTTGCCATATCATCAAAATCCTTCCACCCCCTTTGAATCCAGCTAATCCAGCGGTAGGTGCAACTCTCTCCAGCTCTTCGGATATCTTCGATGGCCTTGTTCGCCTGATCCCAGAGGGCAGAAATCTCTGCGCTTAGTCGAGGCGGGACACGTGCAGCCACTTGCACAACGTCTTTGAAATGTTCGAGATGTCCGCTTACTCTGTCGACTTCCATCTTCAGCTGAGTCAGCGAAAAGAGCAGCGTATCTACGTCAGGAGCCACCGTGGGGGCGCGAGTCTCCATTTGTTGTTGCAGAGCAGCGGCCTTTTTCTTAAGTCTTTCTGAGTCAGCATGGATTCTTCTCATCCAGTGTCCTTCTATGGCCTCTAGCAGGGCTTGGACGCCATCCTTGCATTTCTCGAGAGTATCTCTGAAAACAGATACCGTATTCCTGCTCAAAGCCCGATGCAAAGTAACACTTTGTGCTTCCGATACATCTCTTGCTGCTTGCCGCAGCACCGCATCTGCAACCTCCCAGTTCTGCTCTGGTGATGTCCCAGGGAGCGCCCCCAGCACGGAATACCAGCTGTCCGACAGTTTTACAATTACCCTCTGCATGGCGAGATCCAAGCTGGCCACGCCCTCCGGAGAATATGCCCTAGTTGGAACGTCATCTTCTGCAGCAGCACCCGAAGCAGCACCCTCAGCAGTAGCATCTCTTCTTGGTGCTGCTGCACCAGGCAGACTCTCCATGCTTGACTGCACCTCTTCTCTTCTCTTCTGCGTAGTAGCCTTAGGCGGGATCGGAGGAGCACCGGCTTCTGCTGATGTTGTTGGTGCTCCTGCACCAGGCAAACTCTCCATGCTTGACTGCACCTCCTCCTCCCTTCCCAAGACCGTTCTCCTCAAACGAAGCTTAGGAGGGAGCTGAGGCAGAGCCGGTCCTGGTGCTGCTGATCCTCGTGCTGCTGCTGCTGCTCCCGCTGCTACACCTGGTGCTACTCCTGGTGCTACTCCTGGTCGAGCTCCTAGTGCTGCTCCTGGTGCTACTCCTGGTGCTGCTCGTGATGCTGCTCCTGGTGCTACTCCTGGTGCTGCTCCTGGTGCGACTCCTGGTGCAACTCCTGGTGCTGCTGCCCTTGGTGCTACTCTTGGTGATGCTCCTGGTGGTGCTACTCCTGGTGCTGCTTCTTTTGGTCCTCTTGGTGGTACTGGTGCTACTCCTGCTGGTGCTGGTGGTACTCCTACTTGCGTCGCGGGACGCTGCGCCGGACCAGGCTGCCCAGAAGTAGAATCCCCACCAAACTGAATTGTCTGTCTCGCGGCCGGCTGCGCAATAACCCCCCAGCGCCTGTGACGCCGAGGATCGTGAGACTCCTGGAAGGGCTGTTCGCGGTGCTGGGTCTCCCGGACAGAGGAAGCCCTCATGGGCAGCCGAGGCCCTCCTGCGGGGGCTACTGAGAAGGAGACTGTCTTTTTAACTTTCGTCCTTGCTCCTCTATCCTGCTCTGCTGCAGTTGCTACTGATGCTGCTTCAGGCCCACCGGAGCGCCACAACGTAGCCTGTAATCCGTCTACAGCCTGTTGGATGAGTTCTGCCTCGCCGAGCATATTTGTGTTCTTAAGCATATCGACGAACACAGCAGCATCTCTAAGGAGATCCGTTATACGACCATCTGACCGTACAGGGCCCGCCTGCCTCTTCAGCCGTTCATTCGCAATGCGCAACTGCTCCATGTGCCAGCTAGCCATCTGCATCACCCTCCCCGTGTCAACTGGGGACATGCTTGTCTGCGTGTGGCGGCGCTGCTGCAGCACTCTCTGCGCAGCAGCTACTGCCCGAGCAGCTGC